CGCCAAGGACAATCAACTTGTCCGCCTTCGACACAGTCGCCAAGAGGGCGTGCAGGTCCTCGTAGAATTTGTCTCTGACGGCGTCGGGGTTGGTCATCGTCGGAGCGTAGGCGCTGATGATGGTGGCGAATTTGCCTCCCCATAGACAGTTGTCCATCACCAGCAGGAATACCACCAGGATGCGGAGGAAGATTTCCAGACGCTAATATCCCTACCTATGGACTTTGGTCTTGAATGAATATCCAAATTTCAAGACAGCGAGACGCTTACTCATATTTGGTATGGATGTTACCGTGCCTGATAAAGCTAGCCACGATGGTTGGACCTCTCCACGCCTAAGGATCTGTGAAAACGAACCAAGAGGACCCGGCCCGCCCTCTACTCTGACGACTGAAACCGAATACCGAGGACCAAAAGATCAATTCTGTGCCTGACGTACAGGGTCCGATCAGGTTCTGAGCTGACCTTATTCTCGACGCTTTCAGATGGGTAGCGGCGACGGACCGAGGGCAGAAACACCGAGCTCATGAGGAGGAGGGCGAAGAGCGCACCCAAATCACCTAAGAAGTCTGTCTGGGATAGCTCAAGGTATCGTTGGGATGCTGTCGCTGCGAGGGTGGGCTGTCTTACCGGAAACCAAGTCAGCGTACATACACCACATGAGGGATGATTCTCGCGCAGCAGTGGTCAAACACCTCCAATTCTCGCCTATATTCCACGAGAACAGCCCAGAACTAACAATTGTGCGGGAGGACCGACGGGGAGCATGTGACGTGGAGATGCCAAGTAGGATTCGTTGACATTTTTCACGGATTTTAACAACAACGCAAGCGACATCGTTTCAGAAGACGATGTAGCCTTTACTCTGTTTATTTCTTCGAATTGACGGCCATTTATACCTAGGGGTGTTTTTTACTGGTCAGAGATACAACTCAAAAACATTGTGGCCCTCCCAGCGTTTGTCTATTAGCAGACAGATCTAAAAACCCCCTTAACCTAACGAAATTACACCCTACAATTTATCAGAGGGACATAAATAATGACATCGTTTACATAGTCGAAGTCGGTCAGGCGGCGTCCGAGTGAGAACTAACCACTGCCAAAACCGCGTAAAGCCCTACTAAGAAACCAATGGATGGTGCAGTCAAACAGAACGACCGACAAGACGCCGGAGAGAATATCAAGCAATTATTGCGTATCAGAGCTCACACAGTGACGGAGTAATAGCAGGCTATGATCACAGCGATAACTTTTGCCGGCATACAGACTACTTCCATTATCCACCACAATGACTCACGGCAAACGGAACCGAATGCAGTGGCAGGGTCAGCAAATCAGACGACCTTCGCCAACTGGTAGCCACAGCCGAATTGAGAAATAAACGGTAAGTTGGATATCTGGTAGGCTCATCCACGTCCAGCTCAAACCAGTCTTGGTTGAGTCGCGTTCTCGGATCACATACACTTTAATATCGTCTCTGAATGACAAGTGATGACCTTTGCAGCAACGCCAACTAGACTTATGCCGCTGGCAAAACGATGCTAGGAACAACCTAATCCGTCCAGAAATGCTCAATCACCTAAAGGAACCAGGGTGTCAGAGAGTGGACACAGGACTTCTAGATTCGCTGGAAACACCGTACTGTGTGGGGTCGTGTTGTTGTGCATCTCCCGTATTGCTTCGGCACAGCACAGGCTGGAGCGAAATAAAACAGCGACCTGCAGGAGAACGAAGGGGCGGTTGGTTAGTCATCAAATTCGAAAGGGCGTTCGAAATGCACACACCACCATCCGACATTGGCAGAATTTTCTGCAGTGCAGAGGCCCTATCAGTAACCTGGCGAATAATTCAGCGGAAATTTCGAATGCCCCCAACGTCTGAGGCCGGTTTCATGGAGGTCGCTACCCCACCCCGTGGCGTCTGCAAGCATCGCTAGTCGACGCTGCCAACACTTTCCGAAGTTGGCGGAATCGCCAGACGACCTAGCCAGGGCCGTCTCGGCAGACAACCGTGTAGTTCTTCTGATGACCCAGTCGCTGCAGCGCTATTGGACGGATGGAGGAATTTTCTCAGCTGACCCGTAGGCTGATGAATTTAATGATGACCATTTGCTACTGTCTTCTGCTTCGACTCGGACCGTAAGCGAGACAGGGCTTCTGTGCCCGGGACCTCGGGTATTCTGGACCGTTGTAGTTTTGCGACGTCTGCAACGGGGGCACGGCCTGACCCGTTGGCGTTGCCAGTTTCAGTACTAATAAAGGACATGCACTCCTGAATCCAGCTGCGGAACATTGAACCGACTATAATGTAATCAATCTGACTGGCCACACGACCAAAGTTTGATTACCGGGTCCATGGACGCTCGTGATGGTGGTGCTGGCGGCGGCGATGGGGCTACACACTCGTGCTGCCGACATCTGGCGGACGCTGACAAGCGAAGTTAAACATTTCATTACCAATGTCGCATCAAGAAACAAGCCCAAAGCGACCAACAAGGTGGCCATTTAAAGAGTTGGTTAGCAAGGCAGCAATCACCAGATCACGGTGACAATGTCTTTCAATGGATTCCTGAGGTTGAAAGTAGAAGACATCCCTGTAACGTTGGCCAGCAGTTGAGGTTAGTCGTACAGAGAGACGATAGATACTCTAAAGTGACTCTTCGGCCGTACGCAAGACAACGTACCATTGGTTGGTATCCATGTAAACAACGCACACTCTGTTGTGAGAGAGCGAGCGCTACATCATAACTACCAGAAGTCACGTGGGTCGCTGTGGAATAGGATGAGGTGGGGTAGACGTCCAAGTCACGTTATTCTGATGGGGACGGCGTGCCGTCAGACGAGTACCAACGTCCAAAGGCGTTCACACATTTCAGCGTCCAGTGCAAGAGTTAGTCTCCCACTCAGTCCAACCGGCATACTATTCCCATGCACCCTAGACCAGGGTCGCGGAGCTCGTCAGTCTCCGCGACCATCACAGCATAGATTGTACTACTTGAATCTGGAATTTCCGCAAGATTTCTCGAGAATATAAAAGTGGGCGGGTTCCCAACTAAAGTTCGTGTTGTTTGTAGCGCTTTGGCCCAAAAACCTGACTGCAAGGTAGAGGTGACGAGCAAATTTGGTAGCGGTTCACGGTCGCTACGTTACAGTGCCGCCACCGGGGCTCTGTAGTCGGCATGCCAGACTTCAACCCTCCGCGCCCTGGTGGCACCATCGTTTCTGGCTCACGAGTGCTTGTCCATCAGATCGGAAAGTATGTTTACATCGGAGATGGCCTTCGCTGAAGATCGCTTTACCATTCACCATCTATGGACGTGCCGATAGTCCGCAGCTGGGCTAACGGGGAACCCATCTTCAGGGGACGCCAGTAATAAGTATAGTAGCAACGCTACGTGTAGTAATGCGCGACTAAATATGCATC